AAATATCAACGTGTGTTTTTATAGGCGCTGACAATTTAATCCCTATGGAACTTGCACTAAAGATAGCCAGTAAAATAAGAGCAAAAGAAAGATTCACAGTTTATATTGTTATCCCTATGTGGCCAGAGGGGGTTCCGGATTCTGCTTCAGTACAAGAAATCCTTTTTTGGCAGGTATGTAGCAGCATACGACCAATCAAGTATCTACCAATTTTTTTGGCAGCTTATATCAAATGTTTGTTAACATTACTATGTTTGTTAAGTTTGACTTTCTCAATCTTGTAGTGGCAAACAATGCAAATGATGTATGACATCATTGCTAAAGAGATCAAATCTGCTGAGCTAAAGAATGCACATCCAACAGACTACCTAAATTTCTACTGTCTTGGCAATCGAGAGGAATGCCCTGAAGAAGAAGTAAATGTTGATGGTCAAACCTCATCTAGTTCGGTAATTCCACCCATTTATTGTTTGTTCTTTTAGTTTACTTAGCACTACCGATTCCTTTACTTCTACTTTTGCTTGTTTTAACTTACGGAAAATGCTACAATAGTTATGAAAACAATTTATATTAATAAAGTTCAACGCGTGCCTTCTCTAACATATATGAATAGATACAATCGCTTATTATCGTTACTTTGTTCGTTATTCTTATTCTTGTCATTTACAATCGCTTATTACTTTTATAGGACACAAATTCAAAAAAATTCCGAAGATTTATGATTTATGTACATGCCAAGGGCATGATCGTCGATGATGAGTACGTAATACTTGGTTCTGCCAACATAAACCAACGGTCAATGGCTGGTTCAAGAGATACAGAGATTGCCATGGGTGCTTATCAACCCCATTACACTTGGGCTAAAAAACAGGAACATCCTTTGGGCCAGGTTTGCTTTATCCCATATTTTCATTTCAAAGAAGAAAGAAACTCCCTACATGTTATCTATGCCCAAGCTTCAATATTTCGTATGACTAGTGAAAATTTAAGCTCATTAATTTAAAACAATACACTTGCAGATATATGGATACCGTATGTCACTTTGGGCAGAACACATTGGAAGTATTCACAAGTGTTTCAAGGATGCGGAAAGCTTAGAGTGCGTAAAGTATGTGAACAGTGTGGCGGAAGATAATTGGAATATGTACACAGCAAACGAGTTCACCTCATTACAAGGGCACATCCTAAAATACCCGGTGGCAATAGATGCTGATGGGAAGGTTAGTTCATTGCCCGGACATGAAAATTTCATCGATGTTGGTGGTAAGGTGCTGGGATGTCCAACAAATTTGCCAGATGCATTGACTACTTAAAACGACTTCACATTTTCACATAACATAGTTTTTGTAGAAATCCTTTGTTGTAACAACAAAAACTCCACACAAAAAGGGGTATTATGAATACAATGTAAAATTAGACGAGTCGAACACCAAACTAAAAGAAAACATTTTCGAGTTTTTTATGCTGGTATGTTGTGCCCTGGCGCATTTTCTCTCCTTATTTTGAGCTAAGTTGGAAAATTACTCTAAGAATTACTCACTCCGTGTTTGAGGCTAAAATTTTCGTTTCAATTATTTGTCGTTTTAGATTATTATTAGGAAAGAAATGCAAAAACATGATTTTTAGTAAGATTTAATGAAGAGTATATATGGCAAGAACATGAATATGATAACCTGATACAAGTTATGGCATATAATATCACCAAACAAATACAGTATACAAAAGTAAATACAAAGGGAAATCATCTCATCTCAGTACATAATCCAAATTCCACGATAATCTCTCAGCTACTCCGATTATTTCGAGAAATTTAATGAAAAAAGAGATAAAAAGAAAATCTATTTTACGGTTACTTTTCCGACCATGCCGGCGCCTTGGTGGGGCGAGCAGTAGAAGCTGTAGGTCCCCGGCTCGGTCAGAGTGACGGCGAAGGTCTCTCCCTTGGCGTTC